ATGAACTTTTGTTCTTTTCTTTGTCTTGAACTTTTCATACTCCACAGCCTCTATTAATTTTTTTTTAATTTTAATTACCATGTGATGGTCATACATACTGTATCTTTGTATTTTCTGTCATGATGTATTATCTCAATGTGTCAAACTTTTAATTAGTGTGTATATTTTGCTTGCAGATGACATGAATGTATTGTCTTGCTTATTACCTCAGCTTGGAGTATTGACAAGAAAAAAGTGCCCGTAAATTACGTAAAAAAATGTTTAACTCTTTGATATAATCAGAATTCACATTTAATAGGAATTATAAACAGCCAACAATCAATGAGAATTATATGCAAATCCTCAGATGAATTTGTCTTCTAAAATCGGAGGAAGGCAAAACATATAGGTAGTTTCCATTCACACAAGTCTTTCAAGAAGACTTGCTCGAGACAAACTAAATGAGCATCGTCAGGTGATGGTAAGGCTGCAAGTTGAATCAGCCCTGCAATCTCCTGCATAGAAGATAATATTAATTAGCGGGCTATGAGCTAAATTCCTAAATTTAGACACAAACCTATCTACGAGGCATTATGTACCAGCAATGTTACCTACGATTAACTGAATATGTAATATGTCTAATAAATTCACCTACTAAAACAAGTTCGATAGGTGCAACTTTTGTTGTTATGGAATTGTTATCACAGCCACCTTTAAGAGAAGTAAAAACAAGTTTTGCTGTTGTTGTATGACACCCCTCTTTTAAATGAAATTTCAATGTTTAAGCGCAAACATTAAAATTACCTAACTTTTGAACTTTGTCATTATCTGCAAAATGTTTCAACACAAATCTTTTACGCTATTCGCGTTTGTAATATTTCTCTGATAAAAAAACGTCTATGATGTTCAGAATTACTCTTTACAGCTTGTCTGCCATTCCAGCTTTCCAAATGAGCAAAACTTCTCAGATATAGAGATTATTTTCTTTCGTTACAGGCGCAAAAGGCAGTACTACAAGTAAAGAAGACGCCGAGTAGCAAAAGCAAGCGGAAAACCGTCGCGAAAGGCGACGAGAAATATGTGCATTGGAGCGTATCATGAAATACAATCTTTCGCATGTAGTCTTATGGAGTGACGTCAGAGTTGCCTATCATGTTGTTTAATGTCATTGGTGCGACTGACTTTAATACTACGTTTTAAATATTGTTATTGAGTTTGCCCGTTGCAATTTGCGTTTTCAACATTTAATTTGAACATTTTTAACTAATTAATTATCATTTTAAAAGTTAGTACTAAGTTTTAAAAATCATTATTGGGTTTAACTGTTGCAAATTTTTGCGTTCACATTTAATTAAATATTTTGAACTAATCATTACCTTCTAGGAGTTACTACGTCCATTTCACCTTTTTTCCGAAGTGCCTAATAAGTGCCCTACCGGTAACAATTTATTATTTCTAAATTCCAGTACTAGACTCAAGTGCATCTATTGGATATTTACCCAGCAATCAGTGTGGGTAATATGTTTATGTCTCTGTCTTTTATTAGTGATAATTGCCATTTTCTTTATTTTTCGCAGTGCCTAAATATGTGCCTAGCATATGTGGTGACCAAGCGCGTGCGACTGCCTTTAATACTAGTTTTAAATATTGTTATGAGTTTGCCCGTTGCAATTTGCATTTTCAACATTTAATTTGACCATTTAACTAATTAATTATTGTTTTTAAAAGGTATTACGCCCTTTTTACTTTTTTCCAAAGTGCCTAATTTGCAAGTGCCTACTTTTAGTCCGTCCCCAGATTTTGCAGTTGGTAGTTTACACCCAACTCTGTGATGGGGATGGGTTTTGGTGTAAGATATGCCCATCGTCATGCAAGAAGCATGGAACTCTCAGAAACACTGCTTTTTGCTACAGACTAGGCTATGCATTGACTACAAAAAATTTATGGAAAAGCTAGGTGTCTAGTAGCCCACCTAGACACAAATACCACGAGAATCGGGTTTGGTAGAGTTTAGTACAACATGTACTTCTAGTTGACCTGGCTCAACAATTTTTGCATATGTCAATCCTAACCCCCACCTGACTACGTCACCGAAAAAATACGTTCATTTCGACGTCACAGTGGCGTCATAGGGTCCACCGAAGTATGCGAATGGTCGTCCAAAAACGCGCAGACGATCACTCGAAATCGAGCAAGCAATTTCTCTCGTTTTCTCGTCACAACGATCACGATGGGAGAGAGATCGCCGGCTTTAGCAAGTTCGTTAACGGCGGCGCAGATGACATTTCGGGCGATCGTAATTATACTTTGGCAATCCCTATGACGTGATGGTGACGTGGTAGTGACGTAATTTTTGGATGGCATAGTCAGGTGGGGGTCAGGAATAGCATATGCAAAGTTCGTTATGCTACGGTTATGCTTGTGGTACTAAACTATACCAGACCCCGAGAATCAACTAGGCTATAGCTGCGAAAAACGCAAACAAAAGAAAACAGACGAATATTGACTTCCAATGTCAAGACTGTCATGTTCTGTGCTTCTGGTAACATAATAAAAAGTTGTTTATTAAAATGGATTTTGTATTCACAAAAAGCCAGCTGAGTTGTTGAATCAGTTTGCTTATTGATACACTGTTGTTGTTTTGCGCTTGAAGAAGGGGTGTCTTAAACCCAATATAATTTCTAAAATTTTCAAATTCGGCCCGTCCCCCAAATTTCGTGCTGGCTACGCCACTGGTTCCGTCGGCAAACATGATCGACTCAGAGGATATTGACACCTATCATGTCATTTATGCAAGAATAATAGGCCAAGTAAAATTATATGAGGATACTCTGTGCTGCATGACACACATATCAGTAGAAAAGAAATGTCAATTGCACAACTTGTTTTCTGTCTTATCTGAGTTATTCCATACATTACTTGAGATATATATGCATCCTGTTGACTCTATGGTAAATATCTGAGCGTCAAAAATTCTGAAAAAATAAATAGAATCAAATTCAATTGAAAAAATTCCCACTTTCAAAGTTATGGATGTTTCCCCCGACCATTCGATTTCCTTGTTTATTCCCGTAACAATTACAAATCAAGCAAAGGGTTAACAATGACGTAATAACTCAAATTTATACCTACGCCTTAGGCACTTTTTTTCGCTCAGACAGATCATAGTTATTACATTTTTGTCTCTGTTACAGATATTTGGGCGTGGTGTAAACATTGCCTCTTTTGGTAGTTTTGCGTGTTATTTGTCAGTTTTCAGTTGTGTTTCCAGGAAATAGTTGTTGATCAAACAAATTGATTGTCATTGTGTATTCCAAGAATCTTTAGTTTAACAGCAATGATCACAAATTCATATCGCAAATGCTGCGATAGACTAGCCTAAAATTAGCTATCAGTATCGAGAAAGGGGTATGTTAGTCGTTGGGGGCACGTGAATTTTTGTTTTGAATGAAAATATTAGTTTTGAACATGTGAGCTAGTTCGTAAGCGCCAACTCACCAAAACAATCTCAAAATCATTGTTCAAAAATTTTGCCAATGATAAAGTATGGGGAAATCTTTCAGGGGTCGGGAGAGGTCAAACGGTTGCGCAGTGCGCACGCGTGGTAAAAGGGGAAAGTACCTATACATAGGCTGGTGTTCGTAAATTGGTACTTCTCTAGACCACTGTGAAGCTAGCTATCCCAGTTGCAATGACTTGAGACTATGTATGTATGTATGTTTATTCGTCTCGTAAAATCAATATAAAAGAGTAAGTAATTATAAATGCTGAAGACGGGATGTATGCACAAGACCGTATTGGCCTAAAACACAAATGTGCGGCATACACCCCTTTTGATATATATAAATTATAATAGGGTAAATCAAATATGTACAATATGGTCCTTTGGTTGTGCAAGGAGGGTGGGTGGATGCGGTAACAGGGATAAGGGTGGAGTGTACAAAACTGATTGTACAAAGGAGTTTGTTAGACAAAACAACATCTATAAATAGAGACACTACACAACATGAAACACACTGCATATGAATATAGTAATAATAATAAAAAAATTAAGAATTTGGATGAATGTACAACACCATTGAGTGATGATACCACATACTATAAAACGCGGGAATGGTCAAGTTTAAAGGGTGTGTACATATATGGTATGCACCACTCAAGGGCGACAGTGTTATAAGTGGTCTATGGCTGTTCTGGCCAAAATGTGACCCTACAGGTTTTGGTGAAATATGATAAAGGTATGTATCAAATGACTCACTATTGTAAGTTTTTTTTTGGAATTCTGGATTCAGCCAAAAACGATGAAGTTTCAAAAATAAAAATAAAAAAAATTAGTAAACAGCATTTCCACAAAACCTATTATGGTTGCATTTCAGCCAGAAGATTAGAAAGGTATAAAGGTACAGGGGGATAGGGAATGATAAGGTAGCCTATAAAGAGAAGCCATTTTACCATGTCATGGATTTTCCAATGTAAATTAAAATAATAAAATTATATGGTATCCTGGGATGAGCAGAAGAAAAAGTGTGATTCGGTGATAGGTAGCAACAATGGAAATAAATTGAACAGCATGCTACTCAAACAAAAACCATTGTCCCTACTCCCTACTATTTGAGCATTGAAGTTCTATTGAATTGTACTATCTATAACCTAAATTGCTGTGCTTTTGTTGTTGTCTAATTACTCATGATAATGAAATTAGAATGGTGTGCTAGTTATTAATTCAGTCCATTGTTCTATATTGAGTCCGGGTGAAGTATCCTGTGGAGTTATTGGAATTGTCAGCTGGTCTATGGTGACTGAAGAGGAGGACAGTTTCCTGATAGTTCATTCAATCCAAATAATCAACAGCTCTCCCTTTCAGTGTTGAATTGACCTTAAAAAAATAATCTCCAAACAGTAACATGTTCAAAGCAGAGAAAATTGCTAATATGATGATAATATATATTGTTTAAGTAAGACTAGTGGTTATATTTTTGTGTTAGGACGCATACAGCATTTACTGGTAAATATAAGTTATATATATACTTTTTTCTAGTTACGGTAAATACTGAAATAAGAAATTTTATTGAACTAAATCCTAGAGCAATAAAAGAATACTGAAACAGTAAAAAATGCTGTTTGATGAAGAAGACTGGAAAGATGATAACAGAGGGATAGACTTGAAGACCTCACTCTTTGATGGGCGACATGATACCGCTATAGATTTAAAACAAATTAATACAGTTCCTAATAGAAGAAAACGAAAAAAAGTTAAAAAGTCAAGTTGTAGTGTCAAGTCAGTTATACCAACAACAGAATGCAGTGAATTCAGCCCAAAAAATGTAGAATTAAGCAAATCGCCTCCAGAAATACACCATGTAAGAAAAGTGAAAAGCAGAAAACGTAAGAAGAGAGATCCATGTAATACATTACAGAATCAGAATTTGCTACTAAACAACTTGAAAGATGTTGATGAAGAATCTTCAAACAAAAAAGACACACTGAAAACTACCACTCCACTAATCGTACCTGATAAAATGGATCGGAAAAGAAGAAAATTATCTGAAATGCTGGGTATTGGCCTTGTTAAGTTCGAAAAACCTTGTAAAGAAAGAAGTTCGTCAAGGTTTCAACAAAATCAGCTGAAACCAGTCACTAGCAATACAAAAAGTGAACCACATTCTACTGCCATCGATAAAAGATCTGATGATTTGAGAAATACTGTTACATCTAAGCTGGAATCTTCGCAATTTAGATTTATAAATGAGCAGGTTTTTTTCTTATTTGTCATCAAGTGTTTGAATTAGCAAAAAGTAAAAAGTATACTCGGAGATAAAACACTGCTAAATTTTGATGGCAGAAGATAAATCTCTGCACTTTTTCTTTTGTTCGCCTGATTCATACTCAGCTGTATCAATGCAGTAAATGAAGCGAAAACATAAACACTGGCATGCAATAAACATAAGCGTAAACGAACATGTGTCTGATCTGACCTTGACAAAATTTCTGTTTATTAATGAAAAACTTCAATATTTGGAAACACAAAATAAATTCTTTTTTAAGACAAAATACAAAATGTGTATAATTTGGGGTAACAAATAAAATGCACCAAAAATTGCCAAATATTGGTATTTTTGCTTCATTTGTGATATTTTCACATGGCTTTGATTGGAGTTTGATTTTCTTATCTAACAATTTAGAATAAAACTATGGAATCGATACTCTTGTCTTTTTTCCTTTAAAATTCACTTACAATAAATTATCATGTGGGTTTGGTTTTTTGAAGTTCAATTTTGAGTTACATGATTTTTTCAAAAAGGGTGTTTTCTGCATTGTCGAAAACTTTGAATTATATATGCCTCAACCAAATCTTGCTGAATATATTTTAATTTACAGTTATATACTCGAACAAGCAAGGATGCAAAACAACTGTTTACAAGCGATGTAAAATCATTTCAGTCATATCATGCTGGTTTCAAAAAGCAAGTATCGAAGTGGCCTGTGAATCCTTTGGATCTTATCATAAATTATTTGAAAAAAAGGTGAAATTTCAATTCACGTTTTATATTGTTTTTTATTATTAATAGAAAATTGGAAGTCACATTTCTAAACATACTTGCGATGAGGCATGTTATATTGTGAAACATCTATCATAATTGGCATTTATTGCCTGTCAGTACGATAATAACATTTTGCAGAAGATAAACCTCTTTAAAATTTGTATTTGTAATTATATTTAAATGAAATATGTAAGCTATAAAGACAATGACTTTATTTGTAGCGTTTTTATTGCAACAATTGTTGATCAAAAACTGAATCTTGTTTTTTCCTTCATCAATTGCTTGTATAATTATTCTTGAAAACTTACTTTGCTTTTGCCAATGTTTTTATCTTATCAATTCGCTGCAAAACTAAATGGTATTTCTTATTTTATAAGACCTTCAGATTGGGTCATTGGGGACTTCGGATGTGGTGATGCAAGACTTGCTGCAAGCATTAAAAACAAAGTTTACTCGTTTGATTTGGTTGCTGTAAATACTAGAGTCACTGTTGCGGATATATCTCAGGTCATTGAAAATTTAACTTTGACATAGCAGTACTGAAATGAATATTTCTAGCATATTAAAAGATTTCCTTGTCAGAAATAGGTTACAGAAAATTGGTACCCCATTTTGTTCCACCAGTGATAGATTTCCATCGACCCCATTTTTGGCACCTTGCTTCTGATCATAATTTTTTAGAAACATAGATTATTGTGTTTTTTTTCACTCTAGGTTCCACTACCTAATGGAAGCATTGATGTTGCTGTTTTATGTTTGTCACTTATGGGAACAAATTATGTAGAATTCCTCATGGAAGCAAATAGAACACTTCGTCACAAGTATTTATATCTTCTTTTCTACGTATTACAGATTACTATATATTTCGAACATGTAGTAACCTCACCTATTAACATCTGTGTTTTTATCAACTTCGGCATTTCTGTTCACTTATTCACATTGATTGTGTCATTTTCTAATGAGAGAAATTCAATGTTCTAGTAGAAGAATTGATCTGATTCATTATCCATTTGTCCAACTTTTTATTGCCGGGTTCAATAACTCAGATCAGCAGTCATCATTGCATCAAGAGGATATGAATGCAAATAAACGAATATGAAAAGATTGGAAAAACCTTTCAGACATATTAGTAAACTTTTAACTGGGGATTACAGACTACAGCCTTTTTTGACTATTTTTAACCCACAGCATAATATTACCGTGCATTACAGATAATATCATAACAGCTTTTATTGTCCACTATGTGTGTAACTGTTATTTGTTTTAGGGGGGTTTTAAAGATTGCAGAGGTGGCAAGTCGATTTACAAATATTTCTAAATTTGTTATGTTGATGAAAAAATTAGGATTTGAGTTGGAACGTCAGGTATGTTTTATAGGACATTTTGGTAAACATGAGTTACATGACACACTTACTCCAAATAGAAAACTACCAAGCCATATTATATTTATTTTGATCTAACCAACCACTGTATAATAATGCAAGCATTATCAAAAATGGGCATGTGACCTTATGCTATTCCATGATGCTCTATTTGGAAATTATAATATTGTCATACAAGGGGTATAACATTTAGCAATTGTAAATATTAAGTTCTTTATACAACTATGTATTGTACAAGATATGAAATCATGTAAAAAAATCTAATTATGTTTATGTGCTGGCTTATTATGTCTTGAGCATGGCAGGATTTTCTGTCTAAATTTGAGGGAATAGTCATGCCCTATTTCCCCCAATTGTAATTTACTAGCAAAAGTACTACTTCTTGCGGATGCACATAAATAGGAGAATTTCAGATTCCAAGCATTGGGTTTACTGTGATTCTATTCCTAATTATGCTTCAAATATCTAACGACACAGCTATTGCTGAGCTCCAATTTGCCCTCATAATCTGTGGTAAAGTGTTACCTGGTCCTATTTCGTCACTAACCATGTTCATGCATCTGGAACAATTAACTGGTTAGCTATCGCTATTTATCCTAAACTGAACTAGAGACTTGGGTTTCTGTATTTCTTGTACATTCATTTCTAATTTACTGAATTTTTATTTTTCACAGGATCGAGAAAATTCTCATTTTTTAATGTTTGATTTTCGTAAGATAAAATCTCCACAATCTCATATAAAACCAAGCTCGGAAATCCTGAAACCATGTGTGTACAAAAGAGATGATATTTGTCCACTGAACGGGATTCATTGCGAGTTATTATGGAGCAATTTTCTTTGAAGAATAAACGGCAGGTTCTTGATTCAGATGCATTTATCAAACTTAAATGAGATATCTGAAATTGTCCGAGACTTTCTCTGTTTGTTGCTTTGTCTGATATAACAGTAATTTTCAAAATTTGATATTGATACTAATAAAAAGCGCTGATACCGATACGCAGCTATGTGAAATTGCTGATTTTCCAATAACCTGCGGCCTGAACATTTCAACTAAAAGAAAAGATATCCAAAAACACGGTAACGCGCAACTTCAAATTCGTATTTGCGATGCAAATGCATAAATGGCGAGTCACATGACTTACCACCATGGTTTTATTAAAAAACCTGAATTAACTGCATTTTAACTTTTTATGTCTGTATGCAGAGACGCTCAGCACTTGCCAACATTTCGTTGTAAACAAGTGCTAGGATTCGCTGAGCTAGCTTAGAACCCTCAAAGCAAGTTATCTACTAAATACATGTTGAGTGAAATACAAATATATATATACATGCCCATTCATTCAGAAACAATCTTTGAGGCAGTAGATACTGCGCACATGTGTCATCCGCGTATACTGACCTATGTTTTTTAAAACATTCTAGATCAGATCAAAGAGCTGAATATATCGGAAGTAACGATCTGTTTTCAGTCAATAACGATACAATCGCTGATATCGGCAATATGGCGGATAAACCCAATACTCTATATTATTTATTATTCGTCTCTAGTTTGAATCCCATGGGGATGGGGTTAAATTAGTGCAAGAGGATTGTTGGCTGGTTCAGCAACGTTGATGGTTACGGCTTCCTCCACTATCAGGTCCATGTATCTGAAACAACAAATACCTAAGGGGGCGGATACCCAGGGCGGATTTAGCTTATGAGAGGCCTCAGGTCGGGAATGGCGACCCACTGACCCGTGGGCCATTGGATGACCTAGCGTGTTTTTGGGGACCCATCAGGTCACATACTATTGCATAAAAAGCATACAACATTTTATGATAAATTGGTATACTCTATAGAGGCGAACGACTATAAAATCAATTTCTTACCGGCACGAGGTGGAGAAAATGGTTCCATTACATTTGAACCCATGACAATTTCACCTGTATGCTATTGCACCTATGGAATTTTTTTTGTTTCACGGATAGTTAAACCCATACTAACCCTAACCCATGGGTTTTAGCACCCGCATATAGATTGAACCCGTGGATATACGCATGGGTTCAAATGTACGTGGGTTCAAATGTACGGTCACCGGAGAAAATGCATAACAAATTCAAAGGTAATGTTTTAAACACAAATGATGTAACTGGAGTAATTTCATTAGCTGCATTTCAGTATACTAAACTATTTCACTTATTGTTAGATTGAATTAGGGTTTTTCATCGCTAAAATGTTAGTATCAATGCATTAATTCGTAACATTGCGTGTCACCGAAGAATATTGGTGGGTCACTATGTGAACAGGAAGCGGGCACTGTTTCGTCACCCCTGTTCTGCCCAGCAGTTCAACTAGGCCGCGAGCCGAGGCCATTTATCGTTCAGTTTCGTTGCGCACATAAGGTAACTACCTGAAAATGATTTCAAAATGTTCCTTAGAAATTTAGTAACAAATATTGCCTTGTTCCCACTTCCCAAAGTTGCACGTTTTACAGAAAAGACGCTTTTACTACAATACATATGTGTTACCATCTGTCCTATTTTCTCTGCTTTTCCGGTATCATGGGCCAATGAACGCAGACTTCTGCATGACGTAACAATCAAGTTAGTCAGCTGTAGGTGGATTTCCCGTGGTTGGATGAATATCAGATGTACTACTATACTGCTCGCTTTTGCGTTGAGTAGCCTTTCCATAGTTTTTTTCAGTTATTATTAGTTCAGTTATTCTAAGGAGGTGTTGAATAGTATAAGTAAGATATTAAACACTTACTATATATAGCATATCCACATATAGTATATCCTTTCTATAAATAGCAATTTTAGTTGAGCACTAGCTCATAAGACGTTGTTAAATAGGTACGGTGTGGTAATACCAAGGAAGGCTAGACCTAGAATAATATGTCACAAACAACGATATTTTCTGGCTTGCATGAAATGTTTAAGATTAATTTAATGACTCTTCTTGACTATTCAGCAGACTTACTATATACTACTATATAGGCCACAGCATATTTGGAAATAGAAATTAATGGCTGCTTCTGTAATACACGGTTGTGTGAAAGAGAAGAAAATAATCAATTTTACTAATGTCGGTTGGTCTAAATCTAAATTCATAGAGTCGACAAGAACCTGTGAAGCGGTCTTACTACTTACTGAATACAGAGCGCAAAACAGCACGTAACAGCGCGAAACCGCGCAAAACAGAGGGAAACAGCGCAAAACAGCTGGAAACAGTGTGAAACAAAAAAAATTTTGCAATGAGTTCGGGGCACCTTGTTTTGAGTTGGAGTACCACGGCAGCAAATTAAAAACACAAACCAACGTATGTAGCCAGTAATGCTGTAATGGCAGGTCTCCCCCTGCTGGTGACACATTTTGGGTACCATAATTTAGAACATTTTCCATATGGACATGGTTGGCTTTAGGGTTAGGTAAAAAGGGACCTACAGAAGTATGTGCACCAAGATGGCGCACAACCTGAAAATAGTATGTGTGTGTGTAGCGGATTCAGGTTGTGCGACCTATTGCTGCACATACTTCTGGCGCACCAAAAAGGTAGATAAAATTTCGCATGATGACCTATAATCCGGTACATAACCTTGTAAATATACCGGAAATTGCGCCATAAAACCATGGCGAGAGGCGCCGTGGTTCTTTCGCGGCAGGAGGTGGTAATGACTGCGTCTCCTGTTTTGCGCTGTTTCTCTCTGTTTTCCTCTGTTTCGCGCTATTTTGCGCTGTTTCGCGCTCTTTGCGGTGTTTCGCGCTGTATTCAGTAAGTAGTAAGACCCGTTGTAGACAGACAGTTGATGTTTTAAAATATAGTCTATAGTCCATACTCATAGGGCATTTCAGACTGTGATATATCATATTTAGAGTAGATATAGTCTAGTACTGGTATGCAAACACTGCTGGACTGTAGCACATGCAATGAGCATATATACGCTCATTGAGTACATCAGATAAAATGCATTATGTATTCAAGGTATTAGTTAGTATTTAGTGGTATTTTTACACTCATGCTGTTCCAAATATGATTTTCTTCCTCATTTTAGATACTGTACTACAAAAGAAAATGGCAATGTTCCACCAATCCGACCTAACGCAGGCTCTAATCCCTGCTGCTATCAGTGCTATAAAATGGATTAAACAAGAAGTCTTGAAGCGTAAAGGTATATGAGAATCATAATAGTTGCAAACAGCTTAGATGGGCTATTCATATTGAAATACTTTAGCACTTTTCTGCAATTGGAACTGCCCATCAAACTCATGTTGGAGACTTCATTGAGGTTTTCAATTCGTTTTTTTTTCTCAACTATGAAGATCTTTTGAAGTTAACAAATAAAGCTGAGGAATTTGTTTGTTCACTGTATGGAGAGGATATGAAGAATGTAAATGATACCAGGTCACCTCTGTTTAACACTGGCAAACATAAGGATTATACTTTTTCCACCCAACAATGATTCACTGAAGAAGCATGTGGCCCTCAAATCATTTCTTGAGTTGGCAAACTGCAAGTGTAAGAAAAATAGTTAAAATTATTTATGCAAGTGTGCCAAAATCAACTTAAATTGCACAGATTTTTGTTTTTGTATTGACTGCAAAAATCACAGTACACTCATAGAGGAAAAGTCAATTTTCGAGATAGTGGATTTCGAAAACAATTCAGAAGAAAGTGAATTAGAAATTGCAGTTGATTTAATAAGTATCATTCATTTGTTTTTGTTTTCGGACATTTGTTAGTGTCGTAGTCCTGTTTCTAGAAATAATATTGCCTTTTTTCAAATACATAACCAATTTTGGTCAACATTACAGGAATACATTTGTGTTAGTGTGCTGTAGGGCTCTCGAATTGCATAGTTCTTATGTATGTGTTGTAAACTTATGGTTATTGAATTTCCGGGAACCTCTTATATTCAATTTCGCATCAGGATTGTGGAACAAGCTGTAATGCGTTCAGTATGTTCATTTTCACACAAAACTGAAGAATTTATTTAGTTACCAGATGTGCGCTACGAAACTCATTTCCTGGGCGTTTTCAAGGCTTCGTCTCACGGCCCATATTCGCGGTAAGGATCTACAAGTGTTTAATAACTTACTTATACTTTTTAACAACGTCTTAGCATAACTTAACTAATAATAACAGGGCTATGGAAAGGCTGCCCAACTCAACGCAAGATCTAGCAGTAATAACTAAGATTCATCCGCTCGCTAACAGCTGATTCGATTCCATTGTTACGTCATGCAGAAGTCATTGTTCATTGCCGGAAATGTAGAGAATATAGGACAGATCGTAGCACATATTTCTTGTAGTAAAAGCGTCTTTTCCGTAAAACGTGTAACATTTGGAAGTGGGAACAAGGTAATATTTGTTACTAAACTTTTAAGGAACATTTTAAAATCATTTTCAGGTAGTTAGGAATGATACTGTATTTATTTTGTTCAACACATTTGAGTCTATTTAAAATGTCTGTGGTTTTTTGTCCAGACAACAGTGGGAATCAGCCAAATGAAGCAATATGGTTTAACGCTTTTATTTAGATTTTTTTTTTTATAAGTCAGGGTCGTTAGACTACTCAATTCAGCTGTAAATTGTATGAATTAATTGTTAAATAAGTATATTATGTGAAACTGCTGTGTAGCTGAATATTCCTGTGATTAGTTTTTAAATATTACTTTCTCATGACTATTAGTTACACGGGAGTAATATAAGGTAGGTATCCCATTCCCAGTATTATAATTACGTGTTGACCAAACTATTGCAAGTATGAAAAAGGATCATCAGAAAACTTACCATCGAGATAACTGGTTGTGGCATATTCTATTCCCACTTACATAATGCCCGAAAATGTTAGTTTATCCAATCTGAATTAACGGTCATAAAATCTTTTTTAGTCGTTTAATTTAATTAATCAAATTTCGATCGCCACCATAAGCAACTGAATCTCTTGCAATATTTTTTTAACCCGTTACGGTCACGAACAACATTCTTTGATGATTAATGAGACACAACCGATGTTATATATCAGGGTGGCCAACCTGCTTTTGATCGCGATCGACTAAAACCTTCAAAATAGCTTGCGATCGACTGATCGGTAATAAGGTCATACACAAAAACGAATGGATCATGAATACGCAGATGACTGCACACACACATACGAAAAATTTCACCACTGCTAATAAACACATTTTTTTAAAATGAAATCGACACAAAATTTGTATTTTATTGTTCCATTTAAGTTGTTAATTGAATATTATTTAATTGGACCCGGAGTGATTGTTTTATCATTTATTTAAGATTTATTCAAATCATACAATTCAGATATTTGACCTGCCTAATTTTTAGTCG